AGGCTGAGACAGGAGGATCACCATGAGTTTGAAGCCAGCCTGGGTTACATAGTGAGTTCAAGGCCAGGCTAAACTACATAGTGAGAACCTTGTCTCAAAAAATAATAAAAGTCATTTGTGGACACTGAGACTGCCACTCATCATGCTTTAACTCTCATGTTTTAGCATCTATGATAATTTTTTCTTTGTTTCCATGTTGATTTTCTAACTCCATAGTTCTTCTATATTTAGTAGACGTAATTCTACTGGAAGGAAGATCTCCCCTGTTTCTCCACTTATTTATTTATTCTTTATTCATATCAGAAAGGACTCATGGATTCTTATTTTATCCAATGGATTATAGCCCAGTACCATCGTTATCTGTTCTTTCTGATGCTCCAGCTGTCCCAGATTTGACCATTCGAAGGCCCTTCAGCCTGGCCTTGTGTTCTTCGATATATCCTCAACATTCTTCGAGCACTTGCTTACTTTCTGGGACAAGAAGATATTTCAGACTCATCTTACACTTTTTTCTGCAACCGTCTGTTCTCCCAGATGCTCTAGGTCATTTTGTTGGAGAGCAATATTTAGAAACCAAAATAGGTGCTCAGTTGCACATGCTACTGAATTTCATTGCTTCTGTAGCCAGGAAATTTATATTAAATCATGAATTCACACTGATACTTCCAATTCATTTTCTTTCTCTTTCTCTCTTTCTTTAACTTCTCCTTCTCCTCCTTCTCCTCCTCCTCCTCCTTTTCCTTCTTCCTCCTCCTCCTTCTCCTCCTCTTCTTTTTTTTTTTTTCCCATACCAGGGCTCAAACTCAGGAGTTTACATTTTCGAGGCAGGCGCAGTGCCACTGAGCTAAATCCCCGGCCCTGGTTTTGTTTTTTGTTTTTTGTTTGTTTTTTGGGGGTTTTTTTGGTACCAGGGATGAACTCAGGTTCTTGCGCTTGCACAGCAGGCGGCAAAACCACTGAGCTAAATCCCCGGTCCTTGGTTTTGTTTTTTGATACAGGTCCTTGCTATGTAGTTCAGGCTGGCCTTGAACTCACTGTGTAGCCCAGGCTGGCCTTGAACTCATGGCAATCTTCCTGCCTCAGCCTCAGGAGTGCTCGGATTATAGATGTGTACCACCACACCCCAAATTTCTTTAGCTTCTTGTTTGGAGTGTGTGTGTGTGTGTGTGTGTGTGTGTGTGTGTATACACGTGCAGTTGTTGGAAAGCAAACCTAGGACCTTGTGCATGCAACTACACCGCTGACCTACACCCCAACCCTGACACCTCAATCCAAATCCACCATCACATGGTCTGTTCTCCCTCTCCGCTTTTGAAGCTCCCTTTTCCACTAGCAAGAAAACTGATTGCAATTACTCTCAGTATATTTACTCAAGCCTAACTACCAATTATAATATTTTTATTTATTTTTAAAAATTTTTTGGTACCAGGGATCCAACTCCAGACCTTGCGCTTGAGAGGTAGGCAGCAGAACCACTGAGCTAAATCCCCGGCCCAAGATTTTTTTTTTTTTTTTTACAAGGTCTTGCTACGTAGCCCAGGCTGGGCTCGACCTCACAGCAATTGTCCTGCCTCAGTCTGCCGAGAGCCAGGGACACATCATGCCTGGCTAAGATCATAAGTATATTTATTTGTAGGGTTTTTTTGAGAAGGGTGAACCTGAGCTACACATATCTTAAGTGGAAAAGTTAGAGTTCTGACTAATACCTGCTGTATCAGAATATAGAACATCACCACCATTCCCACTGCCCAGCAGCTTCCCTCGTGTTCATTCCCACCTGACAGCCCAGTCACAACTACTTTTTCATTTTATTCCATTGCAAATTAGTTTATTTTCTATTTTTTTTTTTGTACCAGGGAATCGAACTTGGGACCTTGTGCTTGTGAGGCAGGCACCAGAACCACTGAGCTAAATCCCACGGCCCTTTTTTCTATATTTATTAGTACACATTTGTAGCACATAATGTTTATATCCCTTGTGTGCAGTTGGTGCATGTACGTAACATAGCTCAGTACCTTTTTCCATCCCCTCTCTCTCCCCTCCACACTCCCTCCACCCCTTAATCCCTTTCCCATTTGAGAAAGATCTGTCTTCCTCCTTCCTATTATCTGTCTTTTGTTTTGCTCTTTAGTTTTGGCTTCTCTTATAAGAGAGACGATGCAATATTTAAGCAGTGTGTATGATTTATGTCACTTAACATTATGGTCTCAAGGTGCATCCATTTTACTACAGATGCCTCAAGTTTATCCTTCTTTGTAACAGAGTAGTACTTATTACTCCACTGTGTGTAAATACATTTTCTTTATCCATTCATCTGTTGATAGACATATTGGCTGCTTTTCAGATTTAGCTATTATGAGCTGTGCTGCTATGAACATGCGTATGTATTTATCACTGTAATATGATGACTTTAACTCTTTTGGGAAGATTCCTAGAATGGAAATAGCTGGTTTAAATGGAATTTCTAGTTTTAGTTTTTTGAGGAATTTCCATAGTGGTTGTACTAATTTACATTCCCACCAATAGTGTAGAAAGATTCCTTTTCCCCCGCAGCCCTACCAGCATTTATTATTTGACTTTTTTTTTTTTTGGTACTGGAGATCGAACTCAGGACCTTGCGCTTGCAAAGCAGAGGCAGCGCCACTAAGCTAGATTCCTAGCCCCTTATTATTTGATTTCTTGATTGTGGCCATTCTTTCTGGAGTAGGATGGAATCTCAGTGTTGTTTTAGTTCCTCTAATGGCCAGCGTTGTGGATTCCTTCATGTATTTACTGGCCATTTGTAGGTCTTCTATAAAGTGTTATTTCACTTGCTCATTTTTTTTTTTTTTTGGTACCAAGGATTGAACTGGGCACCTTGCGCTTGGGAGGCAGGCGCCGGAACCACTGAGCTAAATCCCCAGCCCAAAATTATGAAGTTTAAACATCAAAAAAAAAAATAGTCAGGCATGGTGGTACCTGCCTGGAATCCCAGCTATTTGGAATACTAAGGCAAGAGGGTCATGAAATAAAATTTATTTATTTTTAATTATTATTAGTAGTACATGTTTGTGGTACATAAAGATTATACTCATTCTGGGAGGTTGGTGCACATAATACATCAATTCTTCCTATGTTCAAAATTAAATTTTAGGGCCGGGGATTTAGCTCAGTGGTTCCGACGCCGGCCTGGAAAGCGCAAGGTCCCAAGTTCGATCCCTGATACCAAAAAACAAAACAAAACAAAATTAAATTTTAGCCAGCGTGGTGGCCTATAATCCCAGCATTTGGGAGGCTGAGGCAGGATCGCTTTGGGTTTGAGGCCAGTCTGGGCTACATAGTGAGTTCAAGACTAGCCTGAACAACATTGTAAAACCCTGTCTCAAAGATAAATAAATACAGTTTTTTAAAGGGCTGGGGATGTAGCCCAGCACTTTCTGAGTTCAATCCATAATACCACACAGGAAAAAACCCCCTTTTTTTTTCCCATTAAGTTTATTGGTACATTTTAGGTAAACAATATAGTTACATTCATCATTGGGATCTTGTACCTTTACATGATGTATCTTGGTTCATATTTTTTCCCCATTCCCCTGCCCTCCCTTCACCACCTCCACCCTCCCTATTTACAATGACTTTGTTTCCATTTTTTCCTTTTCTCGTATTTTTTTCTTTTCCTTCTTTCCTTTCCCCTACCCCTCCCACTTCCCCTACTCCTTTAGACCTTTTCTTCCTATTTCACATTATCAATTATACATACAAAAAAACTTTTTAAAAGGTTACAGTGGCATACGCCTGTAATCCCACACTTGGGAGGTTGAAGCAGGAGGCTCACCACAAGTTCAGGCCAGCCTGGGCTACATGGTGAATTCAAGGTCAGCCAGAACTACATAGCAAGACCTTGTCCCAAAAAACAAACAAAAACATGGCCAGGGATTTAGTCAATGGCACCTCGCCTGCTTTGCAAGTGCTAGGTCCTGAGTTCGATCCCTGGTACCAAAAAATTTTTTTAAAACAAAACAATAAAAGTATATAGTAAACTATATCCTTCCCACTAACCCCTATAATACATATGCTCCTTTGAGAGACTTTTGATACATTTTAGAAAATAATACAAACACGTAATTGCTCCCTTATATGTAATTGATATCAACTATAAATGCTGTTTATCACCTTGGTTTTTTTCAATTCATAATATATCTTGGGGAGTTTTCCATATCTCAACGACTCCCTCCCCCCTCATTTTTCTTTTTGCAGCCCTAGGGATCAAACCCAGGGCCTCTCACATGCTAAGCAAGTGCTTTACCAATGAACTACACCCCTAGCATTTTGGAGTTCTTTATATAATAAACTCAACACCTTTTAAAATGTCACGTTTATTGGTGTATGGCTTATATACAGTAAGTTCACCTTTTTTTTTTTTTTTTTGGTACCCGGGATGGAACTCAGGCCCTTGCACTTGGGAGGCAGGCACAGTGCCACTGAGCTAAATCCCCGGCCCTTGTTCACCTTTTAATGGAGCTGTCTCTTGTATGTGGAAGACCTTCCAGCTAGAGGCTACAGAAACATTATCGGTGCTTAAAGTACCTCTCCGAAAAAAACAAGGCTCACCAACTGCAGGAGATTATTAGGAGCCTATTACACTCAGGTTGAGACTTGAAGGTCTCCTGCACAGGGTGTTCAGTGGAAAGACAGTCAGCACTGGACTCTGACTCTCTGGACTCAGCTCCTGTCTTTGCCACTTATTAACTATGCGATTTCATTTCGATTACATCACCTCTTTAGGTCTCAGTTTCCTTATCCGTAAAAAGAAAAACCTTCAAAATCAAATCAAATCAAGTCAGATAACATAATGAAAGTACACTGTCGAGTGGTGCTGGCACAATGGAGGGCTGAATGTTTGTTTCCCTTTTCTCTCATCAAAAGTCACTGAAGACAACATCCCCTAGGGCAGCAGAATGGGAGGGATGGAGGGGGAGAGGGAGAGAGAGATATTCTCTGATTCTCCATTACAACTTCAGGTCCTGCGGGAGTGCCACCGAAGTTCCTGTCTCCAGCTTTCCAAATTGGCACCCTAGAGTCAGACTGAAAGCTTCCTGTGCTAATGAAATGAGCTCGGAGAAGATATCTTCATATTTGAAAAAAAAAAAAAAGACAGTTCAAGAATGAATAAGGGGTCCTTTTCAGTAAGGAGTTACTCAAAGCCACCCTACCTACCAAACCTGTTCCTCTGCCTGGCTGATTAGCACCTGCCTGGCTTCCTCCTGATGCAACAACCTATTGGTCCAACAGCTTTAGATGAATAAAGACGTTCAAAAGACAACGCTATCTCCGGACCCTGAGACTTTGGCCTTGTCTGTTCTCAGCAGCAAACTCCCTGTTTACTGTGAGGGAGGCAAAATAGTCACAGCAGAACTAAGAAAGAGTTTTCATTCCCACCTGGCCCAGCACAGATGGATGGTGTCTACCGTACTGCCACCCTGTAGGCACCTGATGGGCATTGCCACTGTGAGCCTAGAGTTCTCATTCGTCTTCAGAGAGTCCTGTTGCCAGATACCCAAGGCCATGGATGGCAGCAGTGAGGTCACACCCTAGCCGATTTCATCTGCAGGGAAGAAGCTGGGCTAAAGATCACCAACCACGGTCATGAGTTCCCAGCCATGATTACAACCACTCGGTGGCCTGGTGTGCGCCCTCCAACTGGTGCCCTATGTCCTGCTATTGCTTTTAAGTAGAAAGATCAAGTCTTAGACTTCTGAGTCTACTTCATAGCAGCAAGTCCTTGGTTCAAAATGAGAAACTGGGGGAGACGGGGTGGGAGGTGCTACCAGCAGCCCGACACTCCCTAGCGAAGACTGTCAACAGATCAGCCCGCTCTGGTTTGGAAGCACAGCTCAGAGTGGAAAGTGGGTCTTTGGGATTTGGCCTCTCCCCAAATCCTGGGGTCTAGAAATGGAACTAAGAATGGCGGATTCTGAAGAGTGCCAAACAGATGGAAGAGTCAGCCAATGATGGCTAAAGAGTGAAGCCACAGACTCATGGGAAAGGAAGAGGAAAATGGCTCTCAGTTCCACAGCTCAGCTCATGTGTGACCCTGGAGAACCTGGGAAGGGTTCCTGGATCTGAAACTCAAGAGAACTAGGTTTTTGGTGCCTTTTCTTTTTATTGACAGTCCCAACACTACCAACCAATTACTGCATGCTTACCATGCAGTACTAAGTGCTTTACAAAAATTGTCTCTCACAGCCATAAGCCTACAAAGTATTACTATTGTCTCCATTTTTCAGATGATAAAGCTAAGACTGAATGAGATTAAGCACAGTGTATTAGTCAGATTTTTTTTGCGAGGGGAGGGTACTGGGGATCAAACTTGGATCCTTGCGCTTGCAAGGCAGGCAGCGGAACCACTGAGCTAAATCTCTGACCCCTTGGACAGATTTTTGTGGCTGTGTTCAAATATCTAAGAAAGTCATCTTATAGGTAAAAAGGTTTATTTTGGCTCACAGTTTCAGAAGGTTCAGTCCATGGTCAACTGGCTCCAAGGCAGAGACATCATGGTAGAAGGATATGGTGGGGTAAACTGCTCAACTCATGAAAGCCAGGAAACAGCAGGGGAAGAACCAGAGAGGAAGGGGCCAAGTAACAGATACATCCCCTGAGACCCTATGATGAACCATTTACTCTAAATTCCACCTCATAACAGCCCATTTTGCTATGATCACCTCAATGGGCTAACCCAGGGATAAGGTTAGTGCTCTCACAATCCAATTATCTCCCCAGTCAAATTTACAATCAAGATTAACTGGAGGCTGGGGATTTAGCTCAGTGGTTTCATCGCCTGCCTTGCAAGCGCAAGGTCCCAAGTTCAATCCGTCGTACAAAAAAAAAAAAGAGATTAACTGTCACACATAGCTATGAGATTCACTCAGTGGTATAGTGCATGCTTAGCATGTGCAAGGCCCTGGGTTTGATACCCAGTAATGCCAAACAACAACAATAACAAAACTGGCCTGGGGATTTAGCTCAGTGGTTTTGCCGCCTGCCTAGCAAGCTCAAGGACCCGAGTTTGATCCCCGGTACCGAAAAAGAAGTTAAGTAATTTCCCCAAGGTCAAAGCGATGGTTTGTGATGGTCCTGGGATTCAAACACATGGTGTGTGGATCCAGAAGTTGTGCTTGTTTCCATTACATGATACTGCCTCTTCATAAAGTCCTGTTACCATTGTCCTTATCATATAGTGCTGTCTTTGTTTAAATACTTATTTCCCACATTTAACTTCATGGCAGGCAAAATGTGTTATTCGTTTTCCCACTGACAGTGACCAACTCAGTTCTAAATACCAAGTGAATGCTCAGTGAATGTCTGTTGAATAAATGTTGCATAACTGAGTATTACTTTTTATGCCTTGGTATTGAGGAAAGACATTGGAAAACTGATAGAAGATGTAGGTTATTAAGGAACTATGGACCCAACTACTCTGGTGGTGACAGTGGAAATCACTGCCATCTCCTTTGAGTTGGGCCAGTGGTGGCAGCCGTACATGCCATTTTGGCCCAGGATGTTTTTCTGGACTTCTTGGACAGCAATACTCTTTCAAATTTTAGATACTCCTTCCCTCCCTGAAGTTCAAGTGGAACTGTCAATCACAATTTCCCATCCAGCTTCACCCAGAGAGGATTTGACCTAAGCTTGGCTCTCTGGGTCCTTGCTTGTGTATGGCATCATGTGCTAGAGGATGGGAATTAAGAGACATCTGAGGGCCGGGGATGTAGCTCAGTGGTTCCGCCACCTGCCTCAGAAGCGCAAGGACCAGAGTTTGATCCCTGGTACAAAAAAAAAAAAAAAAATTTAATTGGGACACCTGCTGTGGTGGCACATGTCTGTAATCCCAACATTTGGGAGGCTGAGGCAGGAAGATTGCCACAAGATTGAGGCCAGCCTAAGCTATGTAGTGAGTTCAAGTTCAGCCTAAACTACATATCAAGACTCAGCAAACAAAAAACAAATTTACATGGCATTGTGTGTTTTGTTTTGTGTTGTTGGTACTGGGGATTGAACTGGGGTCCTTGTGCTTGCACAGCAAGCAGCAAAACCACTGAGCTAAATCCCTGGCCTGGCATTGTGTGTTTAACTAGTACTCTTCCATATAGAGATATACAGCCTGTACCATGGATATGCCAAACCTACATATAACTGTATCTTTCCCTGGAAGATTTTTTTTTTCCTGGAAGATTTTTTTAAGGATAGAAATAGAATAAAGATTCAGCTGGATGGTAAGGTATTCTTATATTAAAATAGCAACAGATACAATATGAGCTGATATATATAAACCTTATCTTTTTTCTTTTTTTGGTACCAAGGATCGAACTCGGGACCTTGTGCTTGCAAGGCAGGCTGCAGAACCACTGAGCTAAATCCTCACCCTGAGCTGATATATTTAAAACAGTTGGTGGAGGTACATTAACAGACCAAAGAAACAGACTAGAAAGCCCAGAAATTATATATATATATATTTCACACTTTAAAATAGATTCAACTTGAGGGCAGCTTGGACTACATAGTGAGTTCAAGGCCAACTTGAACTACATAGCAAGACCCTGTCTCAAAATAACAAAAATTAATAAATTAATTAAATTAATTCCAGATAGGTAAGAGATACAAACATGAAAAACTGAAATAAAAGAGTTAGAAAATGCAAGAGAATATGAAAAAAATCTCGAGAGGTGAAGGCCTTTCTACATATGACATGAAACCCAGAAGTTATAAAAGTTAATAAATCTGACCAATGGACAAGTTAATTTTTTTTCAGTACTGGGTATTTTTATTTTTTGAGACAAAGTCTCGCTAAGTTATCCAAGTTGGCCTCAAATGTGTGATCCTCCTGCCTCACCCTCCCAAGTAGCAGCCAGAATTATAAGTATATATGTCACCATGCCAGCATTAAAGTTTTTATCATAGGGCCAGGGATTTAGCTCAATGGCACCATGCCTGCCTTGGAAGCTCAAGGTCCTGAGTTCAATTCTTGGTACTAAAAAAAAATTTATCATAAAAAAAACTACCGAAGGGCCGGGGATTTAGCCCAATGGTGGCGGTGCCTGCCTCCCAAGCACAAGGTCCCAAGTTCGATTTCCGGTACCAAAAAAAAAACCCAACAAAAAACAACTACCCAAGATAAAGCCAAAGACAAGTAACAAATGGAAAACATTTTGTAACTCATATAACAAGGAGTTAATTTCCTTAATATATAAGGAACTCTACAGATCAATAAGGATCAGACTAACAATATAATTTCTTTTTTTTTTTTTTTTTTTTTTTTGGTGTTTTGAGACAGGGTCCTACTATGTAGTTCTTTCTGGCCTTGAACTCACTATGTAGCCCAGGCTGGCCTAGAACTTGGAGTGATCCTCCTGCCTCAGCCTCCAGAGAGCTGGGATTACAGGCCTGCAGCACCAGGCCTGGCTACAATTTAAGTGTTCACAGTAAATGACTGGCTAATGAATTGAGGCACACCTATCCTTTGAGACCCTGCATCTGCAGAACAGAACCAGGATTATGCCCATGCATAATCTATCTCTGGAATGATACAGAGGAAATTGGGAATGGGGTATGACTGGGGGTATATTCTTCTGTGCTTTTCTAATTTTGCTTCCTGTTTATTGATTGGCTATTCAAAAATAAATAAAATACATTTTAAATGTATAATACCCTAAGTAAAACTGAGAACACAGTTGTGTTGTGGAATAGATGACAAGCATTGCTGAGTTTTACAGATACCACACGGGAGGTCAAGGGCATTCCAAACTCAGGAGGACACTTGTGATTCTGACCTTGAGGGTAACAAACATTTTCTGTTGATAGAGGGAAAAAAATGTGAAAAGCACTGCTTTACAAGATAATGGGGCTCCCTGGCAGGGCATGGGAGAGTGCCCCTTTGAATTTGGATGAGGTCAGATGAGACTGAGTGTATTTATGAATCAGAGTTCAACCTAGAACAAATAAACCACTTTAAGTATTTAAAGCAGAGGGAATTTAACATAGATAATTATTCTCTGTAGGTGTGAGAAGAGATAAAAAGCCAAGCAGAGAATAGTGAAGCAGCCCAGAGATTAGCAATAGCAGGAAGCTGCCCTTGTCTTCATTCTGGAGGACTCTGGGTGAGCAGACCCAGGGTGGTGGTGGTGACTGGGTTTGGACCATCTCCCAGTTGGACCCAGTTAGGCCAGAAGGGACAGCCTGCTATTGAGGAGTGTGGCAAGGCTGGTAACTTTGTCTTTTTTTTTTTTTTTTTTTTTTGTCACTTTGTCTTGAGGGTGTGGAGGGAGTATGGGATAGTCTTGTTTTTCCCTGGATTCCTCCAGTCTCCAGAAAATGCCTCCCATTGATGGAGGCCAGCATCTCAGAAGCCAAGAGCACAGAAACCTAAGCCCTGTGGCCTCTGGCATCAGCCCTCCAGAGACACTCTGTAAAGACCAGGGAAAAGAGGAGGGAATGGATAAGAAGGCAAAACAGGTCAGGAAAACACAGAGGGAAATCAGGGAAAAATAAAGACATAATTGGTGAATCCACCCCTCTGGTGAGAATCAACTTGGATACTCCGACAAATGTGGGTTTCTTGAAATAAAACTGTAAGGCCCAGGCATTTTCTCCAAAATGGGCTTTAAAGCTGTTTTGTACAAAGTAGGATCTAACTCTGGACCAAACATCACATGTAGTTTTTATGCTTTTAAAAATATTTTAAATTTACAACATCTTAACATCTTTTTTTTCTTCCTTCCTTCCTTCCTTCCTTTCTTTCTTTTTTTTTTTTTTTGTACCAGGGATCGAACTCAGGCTCTTTTGCTTGCAAGGCAGGCGATGGTACATCTTTTGACTCAGTAAAGCAAAGAGGCTAGTTATCCTTCTGAATTTTCTGCCTTTTACTTTCCTTTAGTTGATCCTCTAGCCCAGTGGTGGTGAACCTATGGCAAAAAAACCTATTGTTTTTCTTTTAAGACAAAAGATGCTAATGCATGAGTTATTTTTTCAAAACTAAAACCTCAGCGTTCAGGTTTAATTGCAGTGTTGGCACTCTGCAATAGATAAGTGGGTTTTGGGTTGCAGTTTGGGCACTGAGTCTCTGAAAGATTCGCCATCACTGCTCCAGCCTATCCTGTAAGCTTGATGAGATCCAAGCCAAGCATTTTTGGCAAGAATATATCATAGTTGATGATATATTTTTAATGTTGGCACCCTAGCAGGAGACATAATAGGTGTTGTTCCATCATTAATAATGTTAAGATTTACCATTATACTAGGGTGCTAAGAGCTTGATAACTTCATTGTTGCCTTTGGTCCAGAACTATAATCTTTGTGGTAGTCAATTTTACTAAAGTTCTGTTTCTCATTGCTGCTAGGAATATTTAGGGTTTTCTCTGCTCCAGTGGTAGAAAGCAACTGGAAGCTTGTCCTACACCTGCTGATGTACTTCTTTCTTTGAGTGATATTACTCTGTCTCCTTTTGCTATAATAAACCATGTCTATGAAGAAAAATATAAAATAAAATTCTGTTTCCTCATCTGAAATGTGAATAAAAAGGGTTGTTGAGTGGATTAAATGAATTAATGCACTTAAAGCACTGAGGACATAGTGAACAATAAAATAAAGTAGCTATCATTATTATTATTATTATTACTATTATCATTTTGGTGCAACTCCAACACCAGAGTATGTGGGGCAGAAGAATAAAAAAAATCTTCCTCAGTTTCCAACCCTTATTTCCCTGAGAGGAAAACAAGCCATCCTGAACTTTGATAGACCAGGCTGGAAGGTTGCTAGAACAGGCTCTGTGGGGGGAAGACAACTTCTATCAATTTCTTGGGCTTAAATGTATAGTATTACTCTAAACACTCTACGAGCATGTTCATATTTATTCTTCTTTAAACCTCACAAATTAGAATTACTACCTGTGTTTTTCAGATGAGTGAACAGAAGCTGAGTTAAATAGCTTGCCAAAGCAGTATCTCTCGCTCTTTTTTTTTTTTCGGTACTGGGATTGAACTCGGGCCCTTGAGTTTGCAAGGCAGGCGGTGGAACCACTTAGCTAAATTCCCAGCCCATGCCAAAGTAGTATCTCGAGGAAGCAGAGAAAACAGGTCTTCAAACTAGGGATTTTACTACCTCCTAGTGTTAACAATACTCAAAAAAAAAATCTGTAAAGTGGCTTGTGTTTGGCTTTACTACATTAAGAAAGGTACCATTGCCGGGGATGTAGCTCAGTGGTTCCGCCGCCTGCCTCGCTGAGTGCAAGGACCCAAGTTCAATCCCTAGCACCAAAAAAAAAAAAAAAGAAAGAAAGAAAGGTATCATTTCTCAATTGTTTTCTTGTCAGGCTTCCTTTCTCTTCTTTAAAGTTGAAGCCCCTCCTCTTCAACCTTTCATCAGTACTTTATTCCAGCCAAGCTATTGATTTTATCTTTTTTGTTTGTTTTGTCGTTAGGGTTGAACCCTGAGGTGCATCTTCAGACGCTTCAAAAAAAATTTTTTTTAAACCTTTTTATTTTTGAGACAGGATCTCACAAAGTCGCAATTTCCCAGGCTGGGGATTAGCCTGGCCTCAGCCTCAGCCTCCCAGAATGCTGGGATTACTGCCCTGTACCGCCACGTCCGGCTTGATTTTATTTGTTTTATCCTACTTCTAGTCAAGTCTGAGGACAATAATTTTTGTCTGTTTTGTTCAGTGATTTTTTTTAACCCCCTTAGCATTTATAGCAGCGCGGGGCAGATCAGCAGGGACTATCTCGTTTCCGGAAGTGTCAAGCATCAACATGAAGAGAGCGCGGGTTTGAACCTCGTAGGGACTCGTACTCTCTTCCCGCCATTCCCTGGAGAGAAAGCGAAGCTCCGCCCCTCTCCTCGATCCGACGGCGAGGCCTTGTGAAGTCTTTGAGCTTCTTTCACAGCTTCTGTAGCGTCGGCGCTTGCTGTTTGCGTCATTTCCGGCCGGCGCGAGACGGAGCGGTCAACCGACTGCAGAGCAACATGCCCAAGTGAGTCGGGCCCTGAGACCTGGGGGAGGTGGCGGGCAATTGTGGTGACCCGAGGGCTGGCGTAAAGCGGCTCTAGTTAGTGATGCCTGGAGGGAAAAGCGGGGATCTGGGGAGCGGGCAGGTTGACGGTCGGGAGGTCTGGACGGCCCTTTTGGAGTGTGGAGGTCGGCTGCACATATTGAGGGCACCAAAAAAAGCCTGGGTTTTGGCAGAACGTTTTGCGTGACGCCTTCTAATCGTTTGAGTAGGTCAACTTTTTGTGTTTCGGCCTTCAGTGAACAGCACTTCCGTGGATGGGAATCTGTTAACTGGTTGGGATCTTATCTTTCCCCTGTACCTCTTTTCAGGTTTTATTGTGACTACTGCGATACGTACCTCACCCATGATTCCGTAAGTGGCTATCGTTTTACTTTTTAATTTTATTTTATTTTGTTGAGATAGGGTCATTCTGTGTAGTCCAGGCAGGTCTTTAGCTCCCCTCAGCCTCCCGAGTGTCTTTTGGTAGTTTAAAAAAGCCTTGTGTATAATAATTAGATTTTTAAAAAAAATTAGGTACACATTTCTCAGCCTGCTGAAGTTTTGTTTTTCTTTTCACATTATTTCTACTTTATTGCTTCAAATTAACACTCTCCATAAAACTCAAATTCACAAAGGAAGAAAACTACAAATTTTTCCGCAAAGTTTTTCAGTATTTTTTTTTTAAATTACAAAAGTAGGGGGCATGGTGGCGTATGTCTGTAATTCCAGCCCTAAGGAGCCTGAGGCAGGAGGATTGGGCCCAGTTTGAGGCCATCCTGGGTGACATAGTGATTTCAAGAGCAGCCTGGATTGCATAGCAAGAGCCTTTCTCAAAAAAAAAAATAAACAAAAAGCTAAATTACAAAATTAGTCAAGCCATACTCTTTAATTTAAAAAGGGAAAAGGGGAAACAGGTAAATAAATCAGGAAGTACACGTACAGAGAAAATGAAAAACAAAAACAGTTTTTAACTAGGGAGGGTGGATAAATCTAGTATATAAACCTGACCCCAGGCTGCTCCTGGGAAAGGCAGGACCCAAGGAGAGGGGTGACTGTCAAAACCAAGGAAATAACGTATAACACAGCCAGCTGCTGGCAGGGTGCAGCCTCTGTGGATTCTACCCTAGGACCAGGAACAGGAATAGAAGATGAGGCTGCCACAGGCATTGTGAAGGGCATTGTTTTAGCATCCTTGTGAACCCCTGGAATGTCTTATTTAAAGATAGCTGAGGCTGGGGCCGGGGATTTAGCTCAGTGGTTTCGCTGCCTGCTGCGCAAGCGCAAGGACCTGAGTTCGATACCCAGTACCAAAAAAAAAAGAGAGAGAGAGAGAAATTCATTGGCCAAAAGAAAAAAAATGAAAATCTTTGGTCAGTCTTGTAACTTTAATGAATCTAACTATGCATTTTGTAATAGGCATTATTGATTTAGCAAATATTGGTTCCCTGTGTTATGCAGGTCTTTTAGTCCAGACACATTTTATTATGTACTATTTAAAGCTCACATTTGTTAAAGTCAAAATCTAGTTAAGAAGCTGTCAAACTTGATGGTAAAATAAGGTTTTCTAAAATTCAAATTTTTGTTTGAAAGCCTGAATTTTATCACTGGCAATAAATACTAACAATTGCTTTCCTCAAAGGAACAGGCTCACTTCATTCATTTCTGAGAAGTCTCCCTATCCAGTTTGTTTCTCAGTCATTCAGATAACAGTGATGTGCCATCAGAGATACAGCTTATAGTGGTAGCAACTAGAAAATTACATGCCTGGAGGCCGGGGATTTGGCTCAGTGGTTTCACCTCCTGCTGCACAAGCAGAAGGACCCAAGTTTGATTCCCAGCACCAAAAAAAAAAAAAAAAAAAATTACATGCCTGCTTTTCTTTGAATAGCATCATATTTAGAATGCAGAAGTGCTTTGTCCATCTTTTCATTTTTTTGTACCAAAATATTAAAAGAACATAGACTCAAGGGTTGAGATCTAGTAAATTTAATATTGTATTGCTCATAAAGGAGAATGTATGACATTGAAACATACAGTGATCAGTAATATGTTAGGGCATCACTGCCTTGATTGATTCCAAAGTACCAAGAGTCTGACATTGTCATTGTTGATACATTAGAGTTAGCATTGTTATGAAAACACTAGTTGCACAGCCCCTAAAGAGGTCTCAGAGACCCTTCGGTGTCTGTGAAACCATACCTTGAGAACTGCAGTTCTATAATTTACTGTTTCTATAGGAACTGATTAAATCAAAAAACTTAATCATCTTGAATAGTAGCAGGAAGAACCTAGTCAATAATGTCTCTATTACACTTCATTTAAACTTCTTTCTGGGGCTAGGATGCAGCTCAGTTATTCAGTGCTTGTGTAGCATGTATGAGGTCCTGGGCTTAATTGCCTATATGACAAAACAAAACCTTCCTAACACATAGTCAGATGTAGTAGTTCAGCAGTAACAAATTTGGGGACCGTGTAAGGTGGTTTTTCATGAAGAGATAATAGTTCTGAACATTTTTATTGATTGTCCTGGAGGAGACCCATCTAATAATTGGTATGTGCTAGTCAGTCAGACCTTGCTTGTATAGGTCACCAATCTTTTGTTGTTCCTAATTCCATCTAGGTAAAACCTCTAGTCATAATTTTCTTAAAATTGGCGGGTGTAGTGGTGCACACCTGTAATCCCAGCACTCAGGCTGAGGCAGGAGGATCACTGTGAGTTTGAGGCCAGCTTGGGCTCCATAGTGGGTTCAAGGCCAGCCTGAACTGCATAGTGGGACTCTGTCTCAAATTTAAAAAAAAAAAAATTTTTTTTTTTTTTCTTAAAATTGTTGATGAAGACCAGGCCTGGTGGCTCGTGCCTGCAATCCCAGCACTGGAGGCAGAGGCTGAGGCAGGAGGAATGCTGCAAGTTTGAGGCCAGCCTGGGCTACATAGTGAGTTCAAGGTCAGTCTGAACTGCATAGGAAGACCCTGTCTCAAAAAAAATAAAAAATAAAAAAAATTGGTGAGTAGGCTGTGCCTTTCAATTATTTTTGGACATTTTCATACACCCACAAGTCTTGCTAATACCAGCATTTGGAGAATTGAAAAGTATCTCTTTATAATAAAATTCCTTTGTGAAACGTGTTGGGAACTCTTGTAATATTGTCATTCTAAAATGATATATTAAAAAAAAATTTCGGGCTGGGAGATTTAGCTCAGTGGTGCCGCCGCCTGCCTTGCAAGCACAAGGTCCTGAGTTCGATCCCTGGTACCAAAAAAAAAAATAAGTTCTGGTTATTTTCTTTTACTAATTCATCTTTATTTTATTTGTGAAAAATAACCTATAATTTTATGCTATCATTTATAAAACTTGTAAATACATTAGATAAATTTTTATACTTCAGAACTCAGTGATATTCTTTTACAATATGAAATGGACATATTTGGGACACTGAGACTGAATAGGAAGGAAATGCCAAGAGATCTGAAAAAGGGAGAAATGTTAGTATATCAGAGATGAAAAGTCTGTGTTATGAAATGGAAAGACAAAGAAAATCTTATTTGTCAACTATTCATAATACATAAATGATAGAACTTGAAAGAAGAAACAAAACTAAAAAAATTCCAATAGTGGTCAGTGATTATAATAATTCTATGGGTGGCATTGACAGAGTTGACCAACATTTAACAAGCCATACTGTAATCAAAAAGTGAGAAAAAAACATTATAAAGTATTTATGCACCTTCTGGACCAAACAGTGTGGAACTCATTTGTTATTTATTCAAAACAAGGAGATTCAGTCATTTACAATTTAGATTTGGTCTCATAGACCAAATAATTGAAAAATACAAGATAGCCAAACACCAACCAGGATGTCCATCATTGACACGTTCACTCTTTTATTTAGTGGGTAGACGTTTTATTGAAATTATACCCACCCACAGGGAAAAAAAAAAAGGCCAGCACAACAGTGTAAAGTGTGTTCAGAGAAAGACAGTAATGCAAAAAGAATTTGGAAAGAGAGACTAGATACCACTGTCCAGATTGTAAATGTTACATTATATAAAGAATGTTTTAAGACATATTATACACAGAAGATTATTGAATAAATTTGATAAAATTGTTTTTTTATTTCCTGTTACAAAAATTAACCAAAAAATGCAATTTTTGATCATCTTATATTTAAATAATTGGACAGGTGAGTGCTTAAGGCATCATTGGATTAATATAAGCAAAGGTTTGGCAGATGAGCAAAATTTTGAAATATAGACTAGAAAAGACAATCTCCAGTGTTAATTGTTTCTTTTTTTTCTTTTGAGACAGGGTTATTCTAGGCCAGCCTTGAGCTCACTATGTAGTCCAGGCTGGCCTCAAACTTGTGGCGATCCTCCTGCCTCAGCCTCCCTAGTGCTGGGATGACAGGTGTACGGCACCTTGCCTGGTTATGCTAACATTAGTTGTGTTTACTGCAGAAGAAGCAGTCATGTACCATGACTGAGGTAGTTAGATAACGTGAGGAACATCTGAATGAGATCTGGCTTCTAGCCCCTGGTTTACTGCTTATCAACTATGTATTTTTTTTTCTTTTTTATATAGCTGCTGACTCCTTGTCTATAAAACAGATTACCATTATGTGTTGCAGGATTATGTTTAGCATTTAGACAAAGCTGGCCAGGCCTACCTATGTAAAGATAAAGTCTGTATCTCATACAGTTCTTTTCTTTTACAGCCATCTGTGAGAAAGACACACTGCAGTGGTAGGAAACATAAAGAGAATGTGAAAGACTACTATCAGAAATGGATGGAAGAGCAGGCTCAGAGCCTGATTGACAAAACAAGTATGTTTCAGTTTCTTGTTCTCATGTGAGAGAATAGTTCTATTCTTTTGTGTCCTTGTCTGTGTTGTTTTCCCCAGAAGCGACTCATGCTGAATGATAAATAGGGGTATTTGCCCACATTGAATGAAAAAAGTGGAAGGTCACTGGTTTCCCAGGAATATAGAAATATATTAGTATTAATTATTGAGGATAAAGGAATCAGCAATCAGGTGTTGGTTAGATCAGGAGGTGGGGCAGGGGAGAATGGAGTTGCCTGATATTTTTCTGTTAATGTGAACTAGATTTGTAGCACACATAAATAATGATCCTCAGTTTTTGGAATTGTTCACCTGTAATAGGAAAAGGTAGAAATGGGTTTGAGGAACTTCACTTGGATTTCTTATTTGTAGCTCTGACAGAACTAGTCAAAAAGAAAACAACTGATGTAACCAAATAGACAAGATGTATTCTGGAACCCTGTTGCACATGCTACACTCTGCTCTGGCTAGTTGGGTCCAAGGCACTGACAAGTGGCATTTTTACTTCAGATTATATTGGCATTTTAGGGCCTGACTTTTCCTAAAAATCCATTGTACTCAAAGCTGGTAGGCTGATGTAGACTTAATAAGATGATTTTAAAAGAAAAAAAACTATTATGAAAACTTAAATGAAGTGGAAAGGCATTTAATGAATGGACATCCTACCTCACCCTCAGTTTCCCATCCCCCAGCGGCGAGAGTCCTTTTTCGTTTGTACCAAGATTCTCCACCTGAGCATTACTGATGTTTAGGGCTGCGTAATTACTTGGGGTGGGCTTCCCTGTGCATCATAAATGTTTTTATCAGCATCCCTGGTATCAGCCCACTAGTGACCAGGCCCTACTTGTGACCACTGCCAAAATGTCTCCAAAGAGCCAGGTGTGGTGGCACAGGTCTGTTATCTCAACTACTTGGGAGGCTGTTGGAGCCCAGCCTGAGCAACTGAGACCTAGTCTGAAAATACATTTTTTAAAGGGCCGAGGATGCAGCTCAACACTCCCTGAATTCAATCCCTAGCACTATAAGGAAAAAAACAACTGTAGGCTTTGAGATGGAGAGAAAAATTTCCCCTGAAATACTTTTATTTTCTTCATTTATTCCCTTTCTGCCACCAGCATTTTTATGGAGCAAGTCTCAGAGATGTCCCATTTCACTTGAAAAAATAAATTATGATGTAATCTCCCCATCCTCTTTTTTTTTTTTTTTCTGAGACAGGTGATCTTGCCTCCCATGTGGCTGTAACTACAGGTGCACCCCACTGTGCCTCGCTTTGTGTTTTTGCTTGTTTATCCTTGAAATTATGATGTAATCTCCCCATCCTCTTTTTTTTTTTTTTTTTGAGACAGGTGATCTTGCCTCCCATGTGGCTGTAACTACAGGTGCACCCCACTGTGCCTCGATTTGTGTTTTTGCTTGTTTATCCTTGAAAAGATGTCAAAAATTTCCTGGCATTAAAGGATTAACAGTTTATTTCAGTTTTGCTTTTGTTTTTGTTTTTGGTACCGGGGATGGAACTCAGGACCTTGTGCTTGGAAGGCAGGTGTGGGTGCCATGGAGCTAAATCCCTGGCTCTGTTTGAGTATTTTTTATATGCAGCAAAATAATTCGCAATGAGTACTTTTTAAAAAAAATTTTTCCTTGGAGGGGGGCGGGGATTTAGCTCAGTGGTTTCACTGCCTGCCTTGCAAGTGCAAGGTCCTGAGTTTGATCCCCAGTACCAAAAAAGATTTTTTTCTTGGTACATTTTATTTATTTTTCATTAAGTTTATTGGTACATTTTAGGTAGGGAACTTGTACGTTTACATGGTGTATCTTAGTTCTTATTTTTTCCCCATATCCCTGCCCTCCAACCCCTCCACCCCTCCCTATCTACAAAGACTTTGTTTCCATTTTTTCTTTTTCTCATATTCCATTTCCTTCTTTCCTTTTCCCTACCCCTCCCTCTTTCCCTACCCCTTCAGACGTTTTCTTCCTATGTCACATTATCAATTCTACATTTTGATCCTTACTTACACTTTCAGTTTCTCACACCAGAGAAACTATTCGGTATTTGCACATGTGTGTCCTATTTATTTCACTTAAGAGTGTGGCCTCAATGTGCATCCATTTAGCTATAAATGTCTCTAGTTTCTCATTCTTTATGGCTGAGTAGCACTCCATTTTATAAAAAACCCACATCTTCTTTATCCAGTCTCCAGTTGATGGGCACTTGGGCTGTTTCCAAGCTTTAGCTATTACAAACTGTGCCGCTGTAAACATGAGTATGCATATATTGTTGTGGCATTATTTTAATTTTTTTGGGAAGGTACCCAGCAGAGAAATAGCTGGGTCAAATGGGACCTCTAGTCCTAGGTTTTTGAGGAATCTCCATACTGATTTCCACAGTGGTTGCACCAGTCTGCACTCCCACCAACAATGGAGAAGCATTCCTTTCTCCCCAACAATGAGTAATTTTTTTGTTTGTTTTTTATTTTTGGTACCAGGGATCGAACTCGGGACCTTGCGCTTGCAAAGCAGGCGCTGGAACCACTGAGCTAAATCCCAGGCCTAAAGTACAAAATGTTTAATTAAATGTTTAATTAAAATAATTTAAAAGCACCTATTAAATGAATAAATTTTTAGAACGCTTTAAAAACCTAAAGCAATAAATACATTAGTCACAATTTTACTTTCTTTTTTTGGTACTGGGAATTGAACTCAGGACTGTTCGCTTGCAAAACAGTTGCCAGAACCACTGAGCTAAATCCCCAGGGCTTTCTTTTTTTTTTTTTAATTAGTCACACTTTTAGCAAGTGAGTACCTAAGATTTTAAAACTATAAAGCCCGAAGGGCTGAGGATTTAGCTCAGTGGCACTGTGCCTGCCTTGCAAGCACAAGGTCCTGAGTTTGATCCCCAGTACCAAAAACACCCAAAAGTATAAAGCCGTCATGTAGTGACTTTAGATTATTTACTGAAGTGAAGTTATTTGAACTGTTAAGATTTAAAAATGGGTTGTTGAATTCTTATTTATTGTTGTTTTCTCCCCTTACCCTCATTCTAAAGCGGCTGCATTTCAACAAGGAAAGATCCCTCCTACTCCGTTCTCGGCTCCTCCTCCAGCAGGGGCAATGATCCCACCTCCACCCAGTCTCCGTAAGTTTCCGTGTTTCATCTTGAAGCGTCCGCTGCACAGCAGGCTATCCTTTGCTTGTTGAATGAGTATGTAAATAGTGAAGGAAACAACTTTAGTGGTATAATTTCTAAAGTAGCTTTACAGTTAAATTTTGTATGTGTCGGGGCTGGAATTTGAACCCAGGGCCTCATGTTTATATGTGATCACTGAGCTACATCCCAGCTCTTTTTATTTTATTTTGAGTTAAGGTCTCACAGTATTGCCTAGGCTGGCCTCAAACTTGAGATACTTCTGCTTTAGCCTCTCAAGTAGCCAGAGTAACAGGCATGTGCTGTTACACCTGGCAGGGGTTAACTTTTGATGGCTTTGTTAAAAATGTGTTGTATTTGTGACATCACAGGTGTGAATCTGAGATAGATTCAGATGGAGATCTCAGAGTGGACCTGTGGTTAGATGAGTTGGTATATGAATAGCACATTAAATTATTTGCTGTTATGAGGGCTGTAATAGTTGATAGAAGTCTTCAGTCTTTCACCCTATTTCTTTCGTTTTGTTTCTGTTTTTTTTTTTGCTTTTGGTACCAGGGATCAAACTTGGATCCTTGCGCTTGGGTGGCAGGTGGCGGAACCACTGAGCTAAATCCCCGGCCCTTTAAAATATCATTCATGCTTTTTTTTTTTTTGGTACTGGGGATAGAACTTGGGACCTTGCGCTTTCGAGGCAGGCAGCAGAACCACTGAGCTAAATTCCCAGCCTTTCACCCTATTTCTAACTCACCTAATAAGAATATACGTATCTTGTGAGAGATGAGATTTGGAGTGGCACAAAGGCCTCTGCCCTATGGGAAGGTTTGTTTTTCCTGTGTAGCAGACAGGAGGAAATGGTGTACTAGGTCATAAGTCATTTGGCTCCTGGGAAGGTTCAGCTTGAGCTTGGACTCAGAGACCTAAACTAAGTGTTGAAAGTCTCTGTAGATGTAAGTATGGAGCAGTAGGCTGTTTGTGATAGTTGACACCACTGCAGTGGGATCACTAACGGGCTGTCAGACCCTTCCTGGACCTTTGGCCGTCCTGGCACCTGATAGGCCCTGGCCCACAGCATCTCCCAGATCACTGTCTCCTCCTCCCCCTTGACTGGTTCCTGTTTTGTTTGTGGGGGGAGAGTATTTTTGTTTTTGTTTTTGTTTTTTTCAATACTAGGGATCAAACCCAGGGCCTTGTGCATGCTAAGGACCTGATTTACCGCAGATCTATACTCCCAGGCCTCCATTATTTTTGTTTGTTTGTTTTTTTGGTACCGGAGATTGAACTCAGGACCTTGCACTTGCGAAGTAGGCCTCCATTATTTTTAATAGCACAGTAGTAATTTCTGTTACGTTCTATATGACCATTTTCTTATTGGATATTTAAGTTGTTCCAAATTTTTCCTGCTTTGTTTTGTTTTTGGAGACAGGGTCTCACTATGTAGTTCAGGCTGCCCTTGAACTCGCTGTGTAGCCCAGGCTGGCCTCAGACTTGTGGCAATCCTCCTGCCTCAACCTGCTGAGTGCTGGGATTACAGGCGTTCGTCACCACGCCTGGCCCAAATTTTGCTATTGTAAATAATATCATCAGGAATATCTCTGGAAATAGCCCTTGTGTATCCAAAGAATCTTACATCCAGCTTTTGATCTTTAAAAAAATCTGAAATTAGGTACTTGTAGTTTTAAGTTCAGCTTTTTGTTGAGAACTCTTTAGAAAATATAAAAATTATAATTTCCTTAGAATTTTTTTGTGGGGGTGGTTATTGAACCCAAGGCCTTGTGCATGGTGAGCACATGCTATACCAATGAGCTACACCGCCAGGGGCAGAATTTTGTTTTGAAACCTAGGGAACCTAACTTTATTTTACAGTTGCATCTAGGCAGGCTTGTTCGTGCATCTTAGTCATAAAGTAACTGTAAAGTTTTATGGCATGTGATTTTTATGGATCTACTACTACAAAAAGAAGCATGAGAGGTCAGTTGTTTCAGAATTTGGACCAGTTTGTGAGACCCTGTTTCTTTAAGAAGAGAAAGTGCCAGCTTCATATCAGCATAGTCTAACCCTCAGCTCTGTTCTGTTTTAGCGGGTCCTCCTCGCCCTGGCATGATGCCAGCACCCCACATGGGAGGCCCTCCTATGATGCCAATGATGGGCCCCCCTCCACCCGGGATGATGCCAGTGGGACCTGGTGAGTTGGAAAGTCTTTCCTTTTATGTGTGCCCCACTGTGTTCCAGTTCTCCAGTTAAGTGGAATTCTGAATTAGCAGTCTAAATGTGTTATTAAAAGTATTGCAACAAATTAAATCTGGTCAGTCTTAAGTAGTAAAGAAAACTATTTAAGAAAAAAAAAGAAAAAACTATTTTGTTTTATCAGTATAATTAGATGGTATCCAACCACCCCAGGCTACTAAAAGTGCGAGAAGGCTGTCTCTGTCTGTTTTCCCTTTATCTTCTCTTTCCTTGCCACATCCTGATTTTTTAGCCATTTGCGAGGAGAAGGAAAAATGAGTATGTTCTGTTTTGGAGGGTTGAGGGTAGGTAAGTTTTCACAGTTTTGATTCAGAGCAGAGCTACCTCCTCTAACAGGTTTAGTCTTCCTAGCTCACGAGGCCCAGTAGTAAAATAATAACATCTTAGGCCTTTGTGTGTGTGTGTGTGTGTGTGTGTGTGTGTGTGATACTGAGGATGGAACCCAGCACCTTATTCATCCTAGGCAAGTGCTGTATAATTGAACTCATCCCCAGATCTTTAATTTTAAAAATTTTTTTAAACTTTGAGGCAGGATCTTGCTAAGTTGTTCTGCCTGGCCTTGAACTTGTGATTCTCATGCCTTAGCCTCCTGAGTAACTGAGTTTATAGGCGTGTGCCACCACACCTGGTACTAGCTGATTTTTTATTCAGGAAGTATTTTATCTTCACTTTTTTAATTATTACTACATATTTTGGTGCTGGGGATTGAACCCACAGCCTTATGTATACTGACCCACATGTGCTGTGCCTCTGAACTACACCCTCAGCCTCAAACATTGTGTTACGTTTTTCATTTCTTTTCTTTGGTACCAGGAATCAAACTTGGGACCTTGCACTTTCTAGGCAGGCACCGGAACCACTGAGCTAAATCCCCGACCCCTGTTACATTTTTCTTTTTTGCAGCGCTGGGATGATACCCAGGGCCTTGCCCACCTTAGGCAAGTGCTCTGCCACTGTGTGGTGTATCCCCAGCCCTATTTTTAAATGTAAATATAACATACATGAATTTGCAAATCTTTCTGATATTTGGGCAGGACCTTTGCTTTGAGAATGAGTCTACTGATTGGAACACTGTGTATTTCTTGCAGAAGCCAAAAAACCATAACCATAATTCTTTCTCTACCAACTTTATTTTCATTTTCTTTGAAGTGGTTAGAGACCTAGTGATGCAATCTAATTTCAATCTTTTATTATCATTTTGCCTACCAAATTTGTGAGCTGTTTTGGGAGGTGATTTGCCTGAGTCTTAAGTATATCCAGTTAGTTTTCACAGAAACAATTTTCTTTTCACACTCATATTTTATTGGTTTGCGGAATAGTTAAATTATACTATACAGTTAGAGTAATAAATATGATGGGATATAACCCCGTTTGGGAACATTTATGACTAATGCCTACAACTCAGCTGGAAAAACAAAGTGCAAAGGTATTAGAGAAGCTTTGTAGCTGATTATTCAGTGTGCCTGCTCTGAGTAGGGAAGAGTATAGAGTTCCTGACTTACTTCCTTGTGAACGCAAAATGCAATCAAAGTGATTTAGATGGCTTTAGCATTCTTAGGCCAGGGCCACAAATTCAAGGTCAGGGATGTGGTGAACTGGTAAATGCATGACTGTCTAAAGAAAGCTTCCAGCTAAGTATGGTGGCACATGCCTCCTGTCCCAGCAGTTCAAGCAGCTGAGGCAGGAGGATTGCTTGAGCCCAGGATGGGCAATGGAGAAAGACCTGTCTAACAAAAGAAAGAAAAAAGTAAAGAATGCTTCCAGAGCTCAGCTTTAGCCTGTGGTTGATAATTAAGAATGCAGGCTTTTTTTTTTTTCTTTTCCAAGGGCAGGATATAATGATAAGATTGTGGGATTTCTGTTTAAAAAAAAAAGTTGAGGGCCATTGGGGGCTGGGTGGACATAGGAATGAGTGGGGTAGATCACCAGTGTTGGCCAGGGGTAGATAAATACTGAAGCTGAGTGATGGGCACATGGATGTTCATTACACTCCTTTTACTATCCTTGTGGATGTTTGAGTATTCCCATAACAAAAAGGTAAAGGAACCTAGAATTCTATATGAAATCCTAATGGTGGCTGTTCATTAAAGTTACATCTACTGTGGAGACTGAAGAAAACAAGTTTTCAGGTCCCCAGTTTTTGGTTTACATCAGTTTCCTGTAAGAAATGCTTGAATTTGTTGTATGTTAGGAACAGACTTTTATGTGGAATTTAGAAGTTTAGTAGTAATCTGTGTTCCTGTTGAAATTGATCTTTTAAAAATTCTATACTTGTTGGATTTTGTGTCTTTACATATACTTGTATTTCTTTTTTTTGAGATAAGGCTGTATTCACCTTTGAATATAGTTTTCTCTTGAACCATTTACTACAAACCTTTAATCAAAACTATTTTGTTAAAAATAATTAGGCAAAATTTAGTATTTATAAGGGATTTATGTGACATGGAAATTATGAAGTATAATGTAATGAATATCCATGAATCCACTACCCCGCTGAGGAAGTAGAACATTATCAGTTCCATTTGAAGTTGTCTGTGTTGTTCTCCTACCCTTCTGCTTGCCTTCCCTCAATGGCTCATGTATTTAGGTTGGTTTATTGATGGGACATTTTTTAAAAATTCATCAATAGTTTCTCTTTTTTTGGTACTGGGGATCGAACTTGGGTCCTTGCGCTTTCGAGGCAGCCGGCAGAACCACTGAGCTAAATCCCCGGCCCTCATGAATAGTTTCTAAAATGCATTAGAAAAATAAAATTCTGTGTGTGCTAATTGTTATAAATCACATGATTGCCTATTATCTTTCTTGACTTGAGCTAAGCATGGTTACTGACAGGTTCTCAGCATGGGCCTGCTGCTCACCTAACCAACTCCGAACAAACGCTTAGTGGTAAGACTGTCCTCTGCACCTGTGTACATTCATATAGTAGCTCCTGGTTATGTGGTGGACATAACTGGTTAAAAGAGCTGACTGAATGACACGGGACTCAGTTGTGAATTTTCTTAAGGGAGAAAAAAGGTCAGTTTAGGGAACCAGTGTCCCTGGTGATTTCTCAAAAGCAGTCTATTTATAGTTTCCCATTTACTATCATTAGATCATGACTCCCACGTGGTTCTTGTGTTGGCTTTTCATTTTTTGTTTGAGAATGTCTGAGTAATTTACAAATGTGATGAATTTATTGCATTTCTTCTGTCACATATGTCTTTTTTCCAGCATTTTGCAGGGGGAGTACTTTTGTTTTATTTGAATTCCCATCATGGTCTCATTAGCAACATTTTCTCACTCCTTTTATCGTTTTTTCTTTGTTTGTCCTGCAGCTCCTGGAATGAGGCCACCCATGGGAGGCCACATGCCAATGATGCCTGGGCCTCCAATGATGCGCCCACCTGCTCGCCCCATGATGGTGCCCACTCGGCCAGGAATGACTCGGCCAGACAGATAAAGCCAGAGGGGTGGCCTCTTTATGTCAGTTTTGTATTATTTGTTCTACATCACCAGGAGATCATGATACTGTGACTGTGGGTGTTTTCTAACAGCATAAGGAAGACTTGCTCCTTCTTCCTGTCAGACTAGTTTTGAAGGGAGAAGTGAGATAAACAAAAATGCAGGAATTATAGTTTCATTTGTATTGTGAAATATAAAAATAAAATTGTCAGCTCTTTAGTTAAAAGTGTGTTCGCTTTTTCTCCCCTTGTATTCTGTGTATTATAAGGGAGATTGAACCTCCCACTTGTGTTCCTGTAACTCATTCTCTTCAGGTCCTGTGTGTGAGATGTTTTTCCCTTAGCTATGAAGTCCCTTTTGACACCTGCTTTTAATTCTTTTTTGTTTCCTTTTGTTTTTGTTGTCTTGAGGCAGGGTCTCACTATGTAGTTCAGGCTGGTTTCAAACTTGGCAGTAATCACCCTGACTCGGCCTCCCGAGTGCTGGGATTTCAGACATGTACCCCTGTCCCCGATTAATTAGTAAAGTTCTTTTGTGTAGGACTCTGATAAATCTAACACAGAGCCTGCCTGTCTGCCTTCCTCTTTCTTTTTTTTTTTTCCCCAAATGGGTGTGTGTTTGGGGTATTGGAGATGGAATCCTGGCCCTTGAGTATGCTAGGCAAGTATAGAGCTTCTATTGGATAAAATAATAATGAATAATACTTTAGTAAGTGGAAGGTTTGAAATCTTCAATGCCGAAGTAGTAAGAAATACTTAAATGTTGCATGCATGTAAGCTAAAAATGGAAAGAGTAGCTTTAACCCAGCTTCTCCTTTTTCTCAGCTGTCCTCTTTCTTGGCTTCCAAAAGCCTGAAACCTTCTATAGTAGTCATAAAATTATGTAGACGTCCATGGTACAGGACATACCTTGATTTGTTTTCTTTATATTTTTGATGGTGGTAGGGATTGAACCCAGGATCTCATTTGTGACGGGCAAGTGCTCAACCACCTGGCTACATCCCTAGCTCCAGAAGGTGTCGTTATTCTAATGCTGTTTGTCCAAAACCAGAAGAAAGGGGCTGGGAATGTAGCTCAGCAACGCAGCGCCTGCCTGGTAAGTGCAAGGCCCTGAGTTCAATTCTCAGTAACTGAAAAAAAAACACAAAATACAAGAATGCTATTTGTGACACCATTGGGCTCTAAAAGTAATATTTCAGGAAAGCATCTAGAAAGTAAGCCATTGGCACTACTCATATTCAGTGCAGTGAAAGTTACACTTTTTTTCACGTTGGAAGTGGGAGCAAACCTTGCTATAGTCTGGAGAAGGCCATATTGTTAATATATGTTGAAATTACCTATACTGTATCTTGTGACCTAGCAGAATGGATTGATAGCTGAGGGTCAAGAATAAGCTGAGAAACATTTGTCCCCTTCCAGTTTCTCACCAAGGTCCAGTTTCTCTTGACCCCTTCCAGTAATTTTTTTTTTTTGGTGCTGGGGATTGAACTCAGGACCTTGTGAGGCAGGTGGCAGAACCACTGAGCTAAACCCCCAGCCCATCATATTTTGAATCATTGAAAATAAGCCGGATGCAGTGGCACGTGTATAATCCCAAGATTCAGGAGACTGAGGCAAGAGAATTGCAAGTTTGAGGCCAATTTGGGCAACTTAGACTGTCTCAAAAAAGGACTGGGAGGGCCAGGGATTTAGCTCAGTGGTTTTGTCGCCTGCTGCGCAAGTGCAAGGACCAGAGCTCAATCCCCAGTACCCCCCCCCCCAAAAAAAGCATGAATGATATTTAAAAGGGCCGGGGATTTAGCTCAGTGGTTCCGCCACCTGCCACCCAAGCACAAGGATCCAAGTTTGATCCCTAGTACCAAAAGCAAAAAAAAAAAACAAAAACAAAACAAAAGAAATAGGGTGAAAGACTGAAGACTTTTATTAACTATTACAGCCCTCGTAACAGCAAAAAAAAATAAAAAGGACTGGGAGCCTGGCGTGGTACACATCTGTCATTCCAGCACTTGGGAGGTTGAGGTAGGATTGCCAAGTTTGAAGCCATCCTGGGCCACATAGAGACCTGTCTCAAAAATAGGACTGGGGATGGGCCGGAGATTTAGCTCAGTGGTTTCGCTGCCTGCTGCACAAGTGCAAGGACCTGAGTTCGATCCCCGGTACCAAAAAAAAAAAGAAAAAATAGGACTGGCGATATAGCTTGGTGGTAGGGCACTTACCTAGCATGCATGACCCTCTGGGTTTAATTTCCACCACCACAGAAAAAACCCATCAACTGAGATTACAGTGATGTTATGAGAGATGACCTAAACCAGCAGTGTACAACCTGGCTGATGCAGTCAAAATCATAGGACAGTTTTCAAATAAAGATGGCAGACTTTGATTCAATAGATCTGGAGTACAGCCTAGGAAATTTATTCTTTGAGACAGGGTCTCACTATATAGTTCAGGCTGGGTTTGAACTCTATGTAGTACAGGCTGACTCCTCCCTCAGCCTCCCTAGAAAAATTGCATTTTAGAAGAGCTAGGAGATTTTTATTTTTATTTATTTTTAGGTTTTTTGAGTCTTGCTCCAATTCAGGCTGGTCTTGAACCGCACTAATGTAGCCCAGGCTGGCCTCAAGCTTGCAGCAGTCCTCCTGTCTCAGCCTCACAAGTGCTGGGATTACAGATGTGTGCCACCATGCCCAGCTGATTTTTATTTTAAGCATGTGCAGAAAAATCTGCCCTAGAAAAGGATGTAACTTTGTGCATTCCTGTCCTTAAAAAGATTTGTAGCTAGAAATTGAAATGGTAGTAGATTTGCTTCTTTTTCTAGAAACACAAATGCTTTGAAGAGACTAATTTTGGCAAATGAACTAGTTTAAGTGAGGAAGGAGAGATTGTGATGAAGCATGGTCTTTATGTTTGGCCTCTGTTGAGGTCAATCGATCGACTTGCTAGGCTGAGCCAGGACTAGTTGCCTTTTAGTTTCTCATTTTGTCACTTCTTTTTAGGAAGTATTCAAGTCTCAGAATCTGATTGTTTATGTATCTTAACTTTTATAGATAGATTTGTTTAGTAAAACCTCTGCACACTTACATTTCCCAGGAAACCTTGCCAACTGAGCTTACATGTGACACAGCAAGTTTGTGGTTTGGATGTCTCTGGTCAGGCTCAGGGTGAAAAGTGTTATCTTTTTTATTTCCCCCCCAGTACCAGATATCGAACTCAGGACCTTGTGCTTTGAGGCAGGCACAGCGCCACTGAGCTAAATCCCCCGGCCAAGAGTATCTTTTGCGCATAGACAAAGCCCATCAGTCCCTGTTTACGTTTTTATGTAGCCTCATGCTCAGTCCTGCTCATGGCTCTGCTGCCTTTTCCTGTGGTCTGTCCCAGGAAGTGTTGGTGCCACTTCTCCCCACTCCTTCCTTTGGCTTCTGGGGTTCCCCATGCCATTCCCCACTCAAACAGTAATGCCTTGGGTCGGGGCGGGGCGGGGGCGGGGTATGAGTCAAATATGGTACCAACTAATAGGCCAATAAATACAGCCTCAACTGTTCAACCCTAGTTTTCCTAAAAGGAAGGTTTTTCTAGTAGAGTCTCGCTAATGTTGCCCAGGCTGACCTCAAGCCATCCTCCTGTCTTAGCTTCCCGAGTAGCTGGGGTACAGGTGTGTGCTGTGTGTGTTGTGTTTTGTTTTGTTTTTGTGTTAGGAATGAACCTAGAGCCTTCTCATTGAGCTCATTCCCTGCCCCCTTTTTTATTTTGAGACAGGGTCTCACTAAGTTGGTCAGGCTGGGTTTGAACTCTATCTACCCCCCCCACCCTCCCGGTACCTGGGATGGAACCCAGGACCTTGCACTTGCCAGGCAGGTGCAGTGCCGCTGAGCTACATCCCAGGCCCCTTTATACTGCTTTAGCCTTCCAAGTAACTGGGATTACAGGTGTGCATAACCACACCCAATCCAAAGTATGTTTTTATTTTATTTATTGAATTCATTTGGGTGTTTTATTTTTGGTACCGGGGATCAAACTCAGGACCTTGCGCTTGTGCGGCAGGTGCTGGAACCACTGAGCTAAATCCCCAGCCCAAAATATGTTTTTCAGATTGAACCTCCAGGGGCTGGGGATTTAGTTCAGTGGTTCAGCTGCCTGCCTCGAAAGCACAAGGTCCTGAGTTCAATCCCCAGTACCAAAAAAAAAAAAGATTGAACCTTCACTCTTGTAACATTTCTGGTTTTGGAAGAAATTGTTACAGAGTTTCTAAAAACCAGTATGACAACTTGAAAGTTTAACAGGCTTTAACTACTGTATATAGATAGTGAACAAAAGTAAAACCAAATAGGTTAGGTTTTTTTTTTTTGGTACCGGGGATCAAATTGAACTCAGGACCTGTGCTTGCCAGGCAGGCACAGTGCCACTGAGCTAAATCCCTGGCCCTAGTTTCTGTTTTTTGAGACAGGGTCTCACTATCCAGTCCAAGCTGGCCTTGAACTAACTATGCAACCCAGGCTGGCCTTGAACTCGTGGAGATCTTCCTACCTCAACCTACCAAGTGCTAGGCTTATAGACATGCACCACCATGCCTGCTTTATTTGTTTTTGAGACAGGGTCTCACTATGCAGTTCAGGGTGACCTTGAACTCATGATGCAGTCCAGGCTCAGCCTCCTCCATGCTGGGATTAGAGGCATGAGCCACCACCCCGGTCTAGTTATTGTCAGTTTGGGATTGCATACATGCTTCCTTTTCTGTGGGCAGATGGACTCCACTGTGAGTGCACTTCAAGTCCAAGCTCTCATCATTTCTACTGCAGGGCTTTTTTTTGTTTTGGTACCGGGGATCAAACTCAGGTCCTTGCAAGGCAGGTGGCAGAGCCACTGAGCTAAATCCCCGGCCCTAACACTGCTGGTCTTTAGTGTTTTGTCACAGTGCTAGTCCCTCAGTTCTGGGCTGCATGAGGAATGAGACAGCCCCATCCCCTTTTGCTTAATTGGGTTTGCTTGGTATTTCTTACGATTACATTTGGGCTGTGCCACCCTAGTTGTGTCCCCAGGATAGCATATGGATAGGCAGCACACAGGTTCCATCTGCCTGTTGTTGGTGATTTGGATTACATGTTAGGGTGTCAGATTTCACACACTTGCTCCTTTTGAATAAGTCTTTCCCTGGCTGCCAGTTAAGCCAGTTGACACATCCTAAATCTCACGATAACACTTGGAATGCAGCATGTGAAGCCACCATCTCAGG